TCTTCGTACTAAGCATTATATCCGGAAGAAAAATTCACAAAATAGGTGATCCTGAAGATGGCCCATCACGCAATGCTCTGTTTACAGATATATCACATCAGAGTTGTAAAATGTCTACGAGCACATTATTCTTCCAGAACGCACGGTTTAGGCAATGTGGTGCAATTCGTCCATTTTGCGGAATACAGGGAAAACTACAGTAATATTTATCTCTTCCGAAACAGCATGTGTTCCTTTTACGTTTGTCACATATGGCCGGATTAGGTTATCGATACGAGTGTTCTCTGTGTTACTTCAATTCGAATTATTTCTCATTCCACTGTCATTTAACTTAATGCGTTCCACCGGAGGCTTCAAGCATGTTTATCGGCGTTTGCAACTTGCGATTTAGTGTTCAGCCCGAGTCACCTGCTTTTCTCACAAAAATTAAACTTGCTCACATGTAGTATCTGTATATTGAATGCTGTTATGAACCGGTATATTGCATATTCGTGGTTACCAATTTGCAGCGCTACGCGCCAATTTGGCGCTTTGACTATTTTCATCCACAAACGTGAATCGACAAAAATAATAGCGGAGGAACTATCCACATGTTTACGTTCGTCATAGCGCAATAGTTTAACCCTCCCAACGTCTAAGAATGTGATCACTAAGTTTTCGTAGGCATGCGGAACGAATAATCAGTAGCAAATATCAGGCGGCCAACTCTACTCTTCAAAATAGTAAACCCGTAGATTTTACTAGTAAATTGCANCACTTTCAAATAACTTCCAGGTTACTTTTGCCCCCGTTACTACGAAGGCTCTTAGTGACAAATATAACACTCGGTTATTTGTTTAATTTTCGATGTGAACTCCTCAGTGGAATTCAAATAAATCACTACAACCAATTTGCCGCATCCCTTCTGTACACGTGATTGCTATATATGAGTGACGCTATTCTGTGCGCATCATGTTATCATCAACTTTCTTGTTTCCAAAGTCTGCGGAAGGGAGTGTTATACAGCGACGATATGTTAGGTTAATATCGACTCACTTCCATTTTCTTTTGGGAATGGAATTGGCGTTGGTACAGAATAGCAGTGTAAGTGATAATTGGGTGTCTAGAGATTGGTAGCCGGTTTGATGATGAGCGAATGACGGTCAGAATACGTATGGTGTAACCACTGCCGAGCGTACGCGGATACAACTGGTTGTGGCATTACAGACAAACTGAGTCCACGCAGCTATGCAGCTATGCAAGTGAGCTTAGAAATTTGTTGCAATTAGCATACGAACGTTGATGATCAAGAATGCAAAAAGTTTATATGGTATGGTTTCGACCTTGAAGGCAACGTTGCAAGGGTGTCGTGTTCCGAAATGGCCGGCTGCGACGGAGGTGACCGCATACGTGACGGTGTTCAAGGCACCTTGTGTTGTTTATTATTTTGTACTGGAAGCCCGTGGACATGTGTGTTATACAAAGAAACACAAAAACTGAAAATAGTATGGAATATTTGCATTGTAACGAAAAAGCGCTGCTTGTAGCAAGCTTATTTTAGAAAGATTTGCTCGACAACGGGTCTATTGATCTTCTCGTTATTAGCTCAACTAACCACTATTGTTTGTATACTCGATACGCATAGCGAAGGACACACGCTCCTTTACTATTGGTTCTTCAAAAAAGAAGGGGAATAGGCCCTGCTGGAGGTGGCAGTGAAAAAAACATGTAAAAAGATTGCGCATCCATTTGATAGCTCCGGCGATCGCCAATGTTGCATGGTTTTCCTGGACAGACAAGAGTGAATTTGTCTGGATATCGCGTGATAGCAGTAACGGTTGCGAAACATTACTTAATAAAAATAGTAAAGCTGAAGTAACACGCCAAGCAAACTAAGCGCGATTTATAGATCAAGTAATGCGTGTCTTTTAAATTTTTCATCTTCGCCTGCAGTCCCTAAGTTTAAAATTGACCTGCATTTGTTACCTGGTTACACCGAATATTTTCGACCGATTCCTCTGCAATTTTGTCTTTTACACTCGGACTGTGAGAAATGAAATACCAGATGGATGCGAGCAGGCGTCTTTTCCGATTATTTTGTTTGATGAATGGCAGCTTACATTGTT